CTATGATTCTGTGATTCTATGATTCTATGTTATCACTCTCATTTTCAATGCCAATATTATTCAGTCCTCAATACATGAAATTTGCAGAGCCACAGAGAGGTATCAAGTTGCTGCCGAATGTCTGCGCAAATCGGAACCACCTGTGTGTTTCGGTGAGTACTCACCTTGTAATTTCCGGCGATGGAAGCGAGGAGACCCCAGGAAACTGTTCTTGATTGAGTTGAGCCGTGTCCTCCATGGCATTCCTCCAATGCTGGGGCTGGATGGTGGTGTTGGATTGGGTGTGCCTGCTGGGCTCTCCTTTGGCGTATGGACAGGTGTCCCCTTGGGGGTAGGGAGGGGACTTCCCCTTGGAGAGGGGTGAGGGGTGACCTGTATGATGGGGATAGATTTGGTGCTTGGGTCAGTACTAGAAGGGAGCAATCTAACAGGAGACATAGGGTTGGTCTGCACTTTAGGAACAGCCAGCTGTGGGTTAAAGCCGGCAGCAGGTGAGCGGCCCTGAGCATTCTGCACAGGGGTGTTCTGGGAAGAGGGGGCGCTGGTATTGCTGGTAGGGAGTGGGTTGGATTTAGTAGACTGGAGTGGTTTTTCAGCCAATTTGCTCTTGGATGGCAAAGTCTGCGTCTTTGGGTTGGGCTGAAGTGCTGGCTTTGGTTGGAGTACATGTCCAGGCCTGGAGGCGTTCCTACAAGCATCAGGGTCCAAGGAGACTTGGGGTCGGGGAGAGAAAGGGAGGTCGGAGGTCTGAGGGGGGATGAAGAACTTTCTGATAGGCTACGAGACAGACGCGGAGTGTCCATGCACATCAAAAACAGTGAAATACGCATAGAGCGGGCGAGCAGAGAAAGTCAGAATAAAATCCATTTGAGTCACAAAGATGCACCATGTCACAAGGAGACACAAGAGATGGAGGTGAAGAGGTAGTGGGGGGGAGGGATTTTGCAAAGAAACGAAAACAAACAAACAAAAAACAAAAAAAAAGACATGCAGTTAGCTGGGAACACAGCATAATCAACAACAGCAGCAGCGGCAGCAGCAAGAACAACAGTGTCATAACAGGCTTCATCATATTAACCAACCACGTGTCAGCAAAGGAAAACAACAGAAAGAAAAGTAAAACAAAGAAAAAGTAAAAAAAAAAAAAGAAAAAGTAATCAAGAAAAAAAGAAGAGAGAAATGCCATCTCTCTGGGATTGTTCTGATTGCCCTGCAGTGAGAGAAGCAAGATGCTGTAGGGAGGTGAGGAAGGGGAAGAAGAACCACTGAAGCCACAGACAAATTGAGATGTGCCAAGAATGGGACCACCTCTTTCAGCTACAAGTGCCCATATGCAAACCCAGGAGAGAGATGAAACTCAAAACAGGTGTGTGATACATACGGAGTGGTAGGCGATACACACATGTTACTGCACACACCAGTCAGAACCTCTTTCCTTCCTCTTTACCCCTGACTCTGGCTAATGCACACCTCTGTTGCAGCCACCCATTGCAGAAAGGGGTTGGAAAGTGAGAGTGATGCCATGTGGGCATCGAATCTTCTACCCTGACCTGGAAGGTTAAACCGCTCAATATTCACTGGGAGGCTTCAGAGCACACACCTCCATGAGAAAAATGAAAACTCACATTGGTGTTTGATTTGTAAACAGCTACAGCAAAAACTTCAGAGAGGCCTGGCAAATTTGTTTATCTGGGAAGAAATGATACTTCCCATCAGACTTTATGCTTCTCCTGCAACATTCCTCATTGCACTGAAGGACAGCTTGATAATCTGAATTTCCGTCATAAAGTCACAGCAATATTTGCCATTAAGTCCCAATTCTTTGGAGGAGGTGGGGTTTTGTAAGACATGGTTTAAAAAGAAAAAGACAACCAAAATTCATAATCCATCACTGAGTTATCAAAATGGGATTATGATGTTGGGGTTTTTTTTTTTCCCAAAAAAGAACATTTAGCATGTTAGAGGCATTTTGGGAAACTATTCATATGCCGACAGCGAACAGCAATACACAAACTGGGGAGAATAGAAGCCTTTTAAAGGGATATTAGCAAGCTAAAAATCACATTTCAAACAAAACAAATGTCCTTACAAAACATCACTGTTAACACCTTAGATTATAAGTACTGGTAGCATTGTAAAAATAGAAATCACTATCCAAGATCTTTAGCTTTGGTCTACACTCAGATTCTGATTTCTATAAATGATTACCTATTATGAGTTATCACCATAATATTATTACTATTATTATTACTATTAGCATAAAAGCTGTAATCAAGCACTGTCCAGACATTTTACATACACGTAAACATGCCTCAAATCTCAGTCCCAAGTAAGCACACTCACTGGTGAGTTTACTTTCTAGGTTTGATGGATTAGCACAATGTTGCCAGTACATCATTACATCAACACATCGGTATTGTTATTAGGATTGTAAAGTTAACTGAATTCTGCCATGTAGGTAAATTCTGATCATCAATGAAAAAGAAGTGGAAAGGATGAGGAAAGTGGTTAATCTATGGAAGTCACTATCAGCATCTGATAGCACCAAAGGATACAAGTCACATAGCTGACTGACAATGTTTCCTTGCCGTTTTTGTATCTTATGTGTACGATGGTTCGAGAAACAAATTTAAAGAAGTCAAATTCAACTCCCACTTAAGCCATTTAGAATCTGAAGAGGCACCCTTAAGTACCACATTTTTAGTAATGAAATAAAGCACAAAAATACACAAAAGTCTACATTTCAGCTGGTGCAATGGGGAACACTATTAGCAAGATCTTGTGAGATTTAAGAACTCTTAGTTGCTGTTGAATTCAGATCCTCATAGAACTGAACCTAAGCAGTGCATATAGTGAAAAGTGTATTTTCTTTTTGAAGTATGTTCTCTTTCAATAATCTAAGGTGCTATTAGAAGCATAGGTAAGGACATTAAAAAAACCCAAAACCAAAACAAAACCCACAACAATTTTTATTCCAACATTTCCCTTTAAGCCTCAAATTTGACCTGCCTTAATATTGTTATGATCTGCTGAAAATGCCATCTGGTTGCTAAATCCCTTTGAAGACTATTTGATCAACTGCCTGTTAAGTAAAAATGGTAAGATATAGCAACTATGGAACAGATTTTGCCATCCTTATTCTTTGATGTAGTCCTACTGAGATGTCAAAAATTGATCCCAAGAGATCAATTAATGAGATCAAGATTTAGGTTTGCTGCACTGGATGCTTATTTTGTGCAAAACCTGTTTCTATTGCTCTTTTTCAGTACATTTTGCAGTGGCATAAGAGTTCTCAGACCTCTCCTTCATTCTACTGACATCCAGGAGTCCCAGTGCAGAAACAAGGAAATGGATCTTCACTGTTTCCTGGCATGTTAAAGACACAGAGGAGATCACAAACACATTTATGCCAGTTGCAAAACAGGGCAACAACTGTTAGGAATCCAGAATATGTTTCAGAAAATAGTTCAATCAAGCAAGGAAGTTTTACTAGCCTATAAACTTAGACCTGAAAGTGTGTCTTTATGCATAAGAATTACATACAATGTTACTGGAGAATTACGATTTTAAATGCTTGGAATACTGATGTTATCTTCATATACCTAAGAGCAGATCCATAGGTATACGTGGATATTTTCCAAAGACACTGGGCCAGATAATTAGAAAACATGGATTTAAGTCTTGAAGTGACTAAGCTGACCTTGTCAGACACTAGGAATACTATTATCCCTAAGGAAGTTTCCAAGGAGAAGAAGGTCTCTGTCATTGCACTTAGAAACTGTAGTAAGTTTGCAAGAGATATACTATTAGGCAAGTTTTGTTCTAGCTGAGTATCAGTATTAGTTGAGGACTGGTATTTAGTTGAGTGCATGTCAAATGACAGGAATTTAGTTGACTGCATGTGACTGTAACATTTATAGGGGCTTGAGTTCTTGTCTTAGTTAGTCAACTTACTTTCCTTTTAACTTTGCTAGCCCTCAAATTTGTGTAATTTATTGTCTCTGACCTTCTAATACAAACTATTCTGAGGCAAACAGAATGAAGCCTGCTGGAACTGGCATGGTTTGGTGCTCTGCTGTGACCTGATTGAAGGTAGCTGTGAAATGGTTCCTGATACTTGGTCTGAAACCATGCCATATACAGACCTCAGCTGGACATGGCAATGTTTAGTAACAGCAACATAATTCTATGTGCTTGAGACTGAAAAGGGCAGGGGCACAGTGAGATCCCTGCTAACAGTGCAGGGAGTATGTACGAGAAATTCTTTGCTTGCATTTGTAAATAACATTTCCCTTGTTACCCATGAAAATTTACAAGCTGCTAAGAAAAAACAAAACATCCCAGCTAAGAGCCACAGCTCTGGAGCAACAGATGTCAAAAAGCGTCAAGCATGTGTGAGTGAATTGGACCAACAGATCTTGAAGCAGCACCACTTACCCTTGGACTGCTGAGAGGACTGGTGGAGAGCCCAGACGATGCTCCGCTGATTGAACGAGACCTGAATGGACACAATAAGGAAAACAGCCCTCAGAAAACTTGGACAAGTAATAACCCTGAACACCAGCCACCATAGGCACAGGCATGAAGTGAGGAGGAGGAGGGAGGCTGTCACTGGAAAAACACATGACTCTTTCTGTTCACTACTCCTACATTTTTCAGTTGTCCCACCCTCAAAACAAAGAAATACTGTTGCTCAGGGAGGATACTATAATCCATTTTCATTAAGGGAGTTGCTACCTTCTTTTTGGTCATCAAGCCCACAGAAGCTACTATGTCTGACCTGTGCAAGCTGAACTGCTGAATTCAAAAGGGACTGTCAAGACATTCATGTTGGTGCTGAGAATTCTCTTCTGCACAGTGCTGGTGGACACAGAATGTCCTCTGTCATGAGCAACATGGAAAAGCACCGTGTGTCCAAGGCACAAAGGCAGGGGATTCTTTGAGATATTAAGAAAAAACCCCAAGTCTCCATGACCCAGGCACACAATCATTTCCTATGTGATGACTTCCCACTGAAATCAAAGCTCACATTGGCTTAACCCTTTCCAGCTTCTCACTGACAGATTTCACATCTCTGCTCTCCAGTAAGAGATGCAGTTGCACTAAACAAGCTGGGTCTTCTCTATGGATAATGAGTTCTGCTGTTGTTGATGACTTTACTAGTATCAAGATAACAGCCCAGGTGCCCTCAAAAAGGGCCAGTCAAGGGAGAATAAACTGTCCTTCTATTTGCTGACAAGGTCACCTATACTGTGATGCTCTTATGCTTTCCAGCAAAGGCAACCTATGAAAAATGACAGGAGTAGACAACAAAACATACAAATGTGCTATGCTAAATGTGCTGAAAGGGCAGACAGGCCAAATGCACAAACATTTCAGCAGCAGCTGTTTCTAAGAGGAGGGCTGCCCAGCAGAAAAAATATACCTCTGTGGGACTGTAAATGAGTAAGCCCCAGAGGCAGCTGCTTTCTATCCTTTCTAAACAGAAAGTTGTACTGAAGACTGAAACATCTTATAGGAAAGGACTTGGCTACGAATCCAGTTGTTCAACAACCACCATGCAACATGTTAATACAGCAAACCTACCAAAGTTTCACTAATAGTAAGAGCCATGAAAGCAATTACTTGCCTTTAGGTAACAAACATGAAAAGGTGAAGTCCTGTAGATGCTTGGAAAACAGTGCACATGTGTATGTGAATAGACATGTGTCTGCATGTGTGTGCACACCCATATATTTAAAATGTATGTAGGTCAGATAATACCAAGTTATACATAAGAGAATATAAAATAAAATAAAAAAGTTTCTGAAATGGTGTCACAGACATGCTACTAAATAAATTTTAGTAGTAGAATTATTAAAAAATATGTGAACTGCGAAAGAGGAAATATTTCCAAAGAAAGATTAAGTTACAACTGAACACAATGGCAAGTCCTGTTCTCTCAATCTGTATCCTCTGCAGAAACTACTCACTGATGGTTTTCTATGTATCTCATTGCAGTTTGTCCATCACAGCAAGTAGGTGAAACCCAGAAGCCCAGTCTCAGCATGTTTTTGGTTTGTTTTTTTTTTCGCTGTGAAAATTAGTGGCACTCATTCTATGCAGAAACTCCTCACTTTTGTTTTTCTTTGTACCCTGCTGCAGTCCGGCCACCATAGTGCAGAAATCAAAAACTGGAAGCTCAGTCTTGGCATTCTTTTGCATTAGATTAAACCTAAATTTGTCCCATCACAATCTGGGGCTCATAAAGGTTTATGCAAAGTTATTTCAAGGGGAGAACTGTCTGGTCCACTTTTGAAAGGCTGTTTTATGAACCTCTCCTATGACTGAAGTAGCTGAGTGCAACACAGATGTGTTGTGCATATAGGAAGTCCACTGAGTTAAAATCTGCCTTCTATGAGTCATCAGGAAAAGCTTCTTCCAAACCATAAATTACAAGAGGAGCCTAAAGATTATCTTGGACAAATGTAAAAGGCATTTAGGTGCCCAGAGATGCAGTTAAACACTTACTTAGGAGTTAAACTCCCGCTAGGAGATGTTCCCACCAACTCTTAATTGTGGTGGAAGAGTCCTCTCTGACACTCACCTGAGTTCCAGGATACTTGATTAAAAGCTCCAATCTGCTATTTCCTTTTTGCAATCAGGTGTTTCCAATAGTCCTGAATTCTCCCCTCCCAACCCCTTTGCCTCCTATTTTTTTACAAAAACAATCACGCATATGGAGGGCAAAACATGGCAGGCCCCACCTCCCAACTCCCAGTTCCTTATTGGAAGCAATATTTGAAAAAAAGTTGTTGTGTACTGTGTTTTCATCCAGCCTAGGAGCCTGAGGTGGGGGACAGAAGAGAGAGTTAGTATGAAATCCTCCTGGAAATGCATTCAGTATCCACATGATTGCTATTAAACAAGCTTTATTTCTGCTGCTGATTTTCATGCAAAATACTTAAGAAGTAAGGTAGGCCCTATAGCAAGTTTTAGTTTGTCCACACTGGAAATTGTATATAGGAGCAGTGGAAAGATTTTAAAGAATACTGGGTCAATTTTAAGTGCTGGGGTGAAAAGAGGGATGTACATTTTCAAAGCTTTTCCCCTTTACCAGGCAGTGCTGGTATGGGTTATGACGCCAGACTGAGGAGATCTTCCTTGTATCTTCTTCAATTGAATAAATCTCCCATAATTTACCTTTACATATGGGACATAGTTCCATAGCTGGATATAAAAACTCAGTACAATGGCAGGTTCTATACTCCAGTACAAAAATGCTAAGAAGCAAAAATGACAGATTTGTCCCTCCCATCAAGATCATCTCAGCTGGGAAATGCTAGAATTCAGTTTTTTAAAAAACTACCACATGCACTGCTCCTGTATCTCAGAGTGGACAGAACTGGGACAGGGCCAAAAGAAAGTAATGAAAATGCTGCATTATGCTGAAATGCTGTAATGAAAGGACAGAAAGAATTTAAAGTTTTATCCCTCTCACCAGAAAATGAAAGTATGAGGCCCTACAGGCAGGACATTAGTATGGCAGACCCTGGATGATCTATGGGTGGAAAGAGGAGAAAAAATGTGACATCATCTTATCTCTATGGTTATGAACTACATTTATTTGGTGGGAAATATCTATTAGCAAGTAACTTCCTAGAAGTCTCTACAGGCATTATATGTCATTGGAAGTATTAAATCTGTAAATATTCCAATAAATAAAACAATCTGAGAAACTACAAATTTAATGTGTGACTCATTTTGTTCTGTGATTTGCATTGCTGTATGCTTGGGCACTAACTCAATGCAAGCCATCAAAAAGTTGTTAAAAATACAAGCAGAAAAGTTAATGCAGTTGCTCAGATAAAGAGCATTCCCTCAAACAGAGCTGCCAGATTTAGAGACCCAAGAAGAGACTCTAGTCCCTTCCAAAGTGACATAGTTGTTTTGCCAAACCTGGAGGGATAAATTAAAAAAAACCCCACAAACAAAAGCATAAGTGAGTTAGACCTAATGTTTAGGAGGAGGAAGATGTAGAAGGCACTTTAAACGTAAGGTGGGCACTGAGACCATTGCAGGCTATTCCTCCCATCTCATAGATTGACAATAATCTGGAGACGTCTGAGCTATGAAAGAGAGAGGCCAAGGACTGAAACGAAATGTGCATGTGTGGGCTATAGTTTGTAGATATGATGACTGTGTACCTTATTCAATCTATTTGATACTTCAATGTATCCAAATTAAAAGGTCCTTTGTTTTAAAGTATTTTTTTAACTCATTTTAGCCAGCTGCTGTCAGAGGGAAAGCCACATGAAGCCCAATTCATGTTAGACTGGTGGTCTCTAACTGGTGAAATTGAAGAGCTAGAATCCAGTTTACAGCTGGTTTTAGAGACCTGCAGAATTTCTTGAGAGCTGGAAGAGGTGAAGTGCTGAAGCCTCACACTGCTGAGGTGTAGGCAGAGAAATACAAGAAAGAAAAGTGCAGCTGACCTGGTAAACATACCACACATATAGCACATGTACAGAACACCTCTATATAGCTCTTCACTCAGATTAATTTTCAAGTGCTTTAAACAATGCATCTGCTAGCACACACCAGTAGAGTATAAAGACTTCACAGCCAACATTAAACATTTGGCTCAGATTCAGCATTTGTTTCTGCTTTGAATAACCATCTCACAGAAATCTTTCTTATAATCAAAGGGGAGTTTGGTTGCAGTCCCATCAGAACTTGCTTTCATAGCACAGTTTTACCAGGATGCTGAATACAGCCTCTTAGCTGGTCAAGCTGGAGCCATGCTTCCAAGAAGGAGAGCCTGCAGCATGCATGCAGCGTGCAGTAATGCATTAGACTTGTGTCCCTGGGTGAAATGCCTTAGAAATTTTGAATTGGTTTGATTCCATTTGTAGTTTTGAAAGTCATTCTCAACCTCTTGCTTGCTTCAAGCATAAACTGGGTGGAATTTGATACTCCTCTTTGCTTGCTTACTCAAATAAACCAAAAAAATTCTGAAGTATATTTCAGGGTATGAGACCCCTGAAAATGACCTGAATTAATACGCAATAGGTGAGCAGTCAGGCACTCTGTGTCAAAAAATTTCAATACTACTACTCTTGGGTGTCTAAAAGATACAAACTGTGCTTCCTTGCTCCTTGATCTAGGGAATATGAATAGAACATCTTTGGTGCTCCTGTCTTACAGTCCCAACCTTGCAAATAATACTGACTGTAACAGCTTTTTCTGGGAATCCTTATACTTATGTCAGGAGTTCTACTCAAGGTAATAACTGCTCATAAGATGAAACCTGACAAAGAGTACAGAGAAAGGACCGCAGGTGTTGGTAACGCACCTCTTCTTCCTTTCAGCACACGCAGAGGGTGATGTTGAACAGCACCACCTTCCTTAATTGGCCAATTATACTGAAGTTCCATTTATAAATGGTTTAGAAAGAATTAATAAATAGTAAAGCACACTACAAACATGAGAAGTAAATGTTACTGGCACTAATTAGCT